AGGCTCACAAATGAAATCTGGAATAGATGAACAGAACGATGGAGGTGGAAAGGAAGCAGAATATGCTGTCAAGAAGTATAGAAGTGGGCAGAACTAGAATTAAGGGTCAGTAGAAGAGATAAGAGGGTGACTTGGGAGAGAAAAATAATTAAACAAAGGAAGGATCTTGGTAGAGAAGTGAAGGGAGATGAAGAACAGGGTCTGATGAGAAGCTGCATCTTGTTTTTTCTTAAAGAAACTGTGTTGCTGTCATTTAAACTTACAGTGAGTAGATCTGACTTCTGTTAAGATTACTATAGTTGTTTTAGCCAGTTCTTACTAGTATAATATGTGACTATAGTCACATATAGTATCTCAGCACCCCCTCCTACTTCTGAAGTAGGAAGTTACTATTAACCCCTGTTAACCAGCTGGTGAACAGAGAAACAGTAAGTCAAAAAGCAAATCTGACACAGAAAGGTTTTGAAGACAGGTTTTGTTTCAGCTTCAAGTAAATCCGTCCTTTTCATTGTCGGAATGTGATTAGAGATTATTCTAATAAATGTCTAAAATTAAGTAAGTTAAATAAGTGAACAGAAAAGTTGTGAATAAGAGCATTTCCTTTCTTGCCTATTGAGAGGGAGGCTTTGAAATGTGTAATGAAGATTATTTTTCACTTTTTTTCAGATGTACTGAGTCCTGACATTTCTGCTCTGATAAACCTGTGCTGATAAATTTGATGTAGGCTTTAGAAGATTAAATGGTTGATAGTTGATAATTAAAAAAAAAAATTGCATCCAAAATTATTTGAAGCTTACTGTTATGATTCACTTGAAGACTGATCTTCTGTAATGTTACATAGTATAGCTCTGTAAATCACTGTTAACAGGGCTGATGTTTCTTCTTTACATGACTGGATGCATGGGATTTTGATTTTTTTTGTTGTTTTTTTCACCCCTCCTGAATGTGTTCTAAATGGATGGAATAGTTCAAGAGGCATAATGATGCAGCAGAATCTACAAAGTGACACTGAATGCTTCCAATAATTAAAAATTAAATTTGCGTCTTTTCCATTGCAGGTTTCATAATAGCCCTTGTGCCTTTTTGTAGTACACAGTAATCTCTAATACAAATTCAAGTAGGCCCAAAAGGCAAGCAGACTATCTGTTTGTCATCTGGTCTTTTTTGCTGTTGCTTATGAAAATGGTGCTTACGCAAATCCAATCTATCTTGCTTACCTTCGAACATGTTTTAAATGCATATCTGATTTTAATAACATCTGGAAAATATGAAGGATTTGAAATCCCCTCAAATAGAGAATTCTCAACAAATGAGGCCACGGTGTGCTTTGCATACACAAATGTACTCTTTCTGTATTGCGTACGCGTGCATAGGTGCAGAGAAGTCTCTTAAAGGTGATGCTTTATATGTATATTTTTGCCTGCCTTATTTCATAGATCAGTATGAGTGAGTTTCTTTTACTAGAAGTAGATATGTATATAGAAGATTCCACCACCTCCCCCCCAAGCTGTCCATTGTTTGAGTGGAGATAAAGAGACAGGAGATGCTTAGAAAATATTATAATAATTTGTGGCTGAAATTCCAGGGACTATAATGAGACATTGTTTAATCTGATACTTTTTCACTGCTATTTCTTAGCTTCATGCCCACCCTTATAATAGTAAGAGAGTGCATTTTGTGTGGCACAGAATAGATAAACACTTGTTTCCCCCTATCCCCCAGGTCTTCAATACAAAAATATGCTTCTGTATGTTCGTACTTCCTCTTACATAGTTGTAAGTATCTTCAAAACTGTTCCTGTAATATTTTTATTTCAAATTCTGTTTTTCTATTTTTAAAAAAGTCATTCTACTTAAATATATTTTCATTTTAGTGACACTAATGCAGATTTTTAGTAACAAGGGAACAATTTCCTTGTTGTTAAGCAGAGTTTTCTGATTTGTGGAGCTTCTGAAATAATTGTAGATCAATTGACTGGAAATGAGTCTAGTAAAATAAAACTGAAAATAGTTTTATTGGCTCTATGACCATTAGTTATGTTCTCAACATAGTCCATTTGTTGTTGGATTAAGAAGATAGGTTTGTTTTTAAAAGGGAGATGTTGATCTGTCAAGGCCAGTCAGGCACCTTTTTTTCCAGAGATGGTTGTTTATTTGCTCAAATATGTGTACGTATGCTAGCCTGCACAATACCTATGAAATGCGTTGTATTTAGTTTTATTTATGATATATATAAAACTATCTGAGAGATGAAAGGAAAGGACCATAACTTCATGAGAAATATTTCTTTAAAATACGCAACAGAAACAACAGGAATTAGTTTTGTTATTACTGAAAGACCTTTTTGGAGACCTCAGATCAGATCCTGAAGTCTGTGATTCCATGTAAGGGGCAAGATGGTGAATTTTTTTTTTTCTTTTTGAATTAAATTGTTAGTGTCCACTATTTGTTTTAGAATTGTAGGACAGCCCAGCTTGGAAGGACCATATGATCTTTTGAAGTCCCAACCTTCCATGGGAAAAGGAGCCTAGATGAGATTATCTAGCATGCTGCCCAGTTGTGTCTTGAAAACCTCTGGTGATGGGGACTCTACCATGTCCCTGGGGAGGTTGTTCCAGTCATTGATTGTTCTCACTTTAAAAAAAATCTCTTATGTTGAGATGAAATGTATCCTGGTGCAACTTTTACCTGTTGCCCCTTGTCTTCTCTATGTGCCTTCTTGTGAAGAGAGAGCCTCCATGCTCTTTGTAGCCATCCTTTAAGTACTGGAATACTGTGATGAGGTCCCCCCGTGAATCTTCTCCACAGAGACAAGACCTAAGTCCTTCAACTATAGGGCAGGTTCTCCAGCCCTTTGATAGTCTTCATCGCCTTCCTTTGTACCCTTTCCAGTCTGACCATGGCTTTTGTCAGTTGTGGGGACCACTCCAGGTATGGCCTGACAAGCGATGAGTGGGATGATCATGTCTCTCTCTCTGCTAGCAATGCCCCTGCAGATGCAGCCCAGGATCCAATTTGTCTTTGTTTGCCGCAACAGCAGCACACTGCTGACTCATGTTCAGCTTGTTGTCCATCAGGACCCCCAGGTCCCTTTCAGCAAGGCTGTTCCCCCAGCCACACAGATTCCAGTCTGCACTGGATCTTTTTGGTTATTGCTTCCCAGGTGCTAGACCTTGCACTTGTCTTTGTTTAACTTTACAACGTTCTTGCTAGCCCCCTCTTCCTG